CATACGACCCAGAGTGAGCAGAAAAAGAAGTGCCAGCCCTTTATATCCCATTTAACTAGATTGAAATCAATGTCCTTATGCATTATAACATTAAAGAGCACTGCTAACTTTAAATATGTGAACCTGCAACACTGAAATTCAGATTTTGATTAGTGTGTTTATCCAAGGTATCTTTTCATGGGACCAGTGGTTCAAACCTGCAACTAAATGGAAAGTAGTTGGGAATCAGTAGAAGGGTATTTTTTTTTTTTTTTTTTTCCCATCACTGCATTTCCACCTGGCCTAATGGCTGCAGATGGGTCCCACCTGTCTCAAAGGGGAAAACAGATCCCAGCCCAGGTGCTGTCAAGACCCACTGAGAGGGCTTTAAATCAAGTAGGAAGGGGGAAAGGGATGAAATGAGGCTCAAGAGAGGTTAGACTGGGGGAGCATTCACAGGGTTTGGGGGTGAGGGCAATGGTGCAACTGAAATGCATCTACACCAATGCACACCGTATGGGCAACAAACAGGAGAAGCTGGAAGCTGTCGTGTGGTAGTTAAACTATGACCTAGTCACCATCAATGAAATGCGGTGGGACCGCTCCCACAACTGGTGTGCTGCAATGGATGGCTACAAGCTCCTCAGAAGGGACAGGCAACTTAGGAGGGGAGGTGACATGGTTCTATATTAGAGAGTGTTTTGATGTTGTTGAGCTCGGGGTTGGGAATGGTAAGGTAGAGTCCCTGTGGTTAAGGATCAGAGGGTTGGCCAACAAGGCAGACATCCTGGTGGGGGTCTGTAATAGACCGACAAACCATGATGAAGAGGCAGAAGAGGTGTTCTGTAAGCACCTGGTGGAAGTTGCTCAATCGCCAGTGCTTGTTCTCATGGGGGACTTCAACTTCCCAGACGTGTGCTGGAAATGCAACACAGCCCTGAGGAAGCAGCCTAGGAGGTTCCTGGAGAGTGTGGAAGACAGCTTCCTGACTCATTGCAGACTTCTGATACGCCTACAAAGGGTGAGTTGCTCAGTGGGATGGGGCAGAAGAAGGGATGGTTCCTCCTCACAGAAAAGTCCTTGCAGCACCTCTCCTTGGGCTCACACCAGTTAAAGCTAGACACAGTTTTGCACTGTGCTGATTGCAGCACTATTATTAAAATCATCGAGGGCTATATTTTTTTGGTTGTATTTTTAGATTTCCCTCTTTAATACAGATGTTGATTTAGACTTTCTAAGGAAACATCAAAACACAAACTGCAGTTGCCCTAGTGCAGCAAGACCTCTGATTTGGATGTCAGAAGGGGTGGCCAGGCAAAGTTATTGCCCCAGATCTACCCCTGCTAGTGAGAAATTCTTTTATAGTTGTGGTTTAACCTGGCAGGCAGCTCAGTACCACACAGCCTTTCACTCACCCTCCCCACCCCTCAAGTGGGATGGGGGTGAGAATCATGAAAAAAAGAAGTAAAAGCTTATGGGTTGAGATAGAGACAATTTAATAGGACAGAGAAGAGATAGAAATAATAATAGTAATAAGAATAATGTGTACAGAACAAGTGATGCACAATGCAGTTGCTTGCCACTCACCTGTCTGGTTGGGCCCATCCCATCTCCAAGCTGTGATGCCCTCCCCCCAGGTCAGCCCCCCCATATTAATTGTTCAACAGGATACCATATGGCATGGAATACCCCTTTGGCCAGTTGGGGTCAGCTGTCCTGGGTCTGTCCCCTCCCAGCTCCTTGTGCACCCCAGCCTCCTCACTGGCAGGGCAGTGTGAGAAGCTGAAAAGTCCTTGGCTTAGTGTAAGCACTGCTGTGCGACAATTAAAACATCAGTGTGTTATCAACATTATTCTCATCCTAAGTCCCAAACACAGCACTATACCAGCTACTACAAGGAAAATTAACTCTACCCTAGGCAAAACCAGGACAATAAGTTAGCACGTGGTATTTCAAAACTAACACAGATGTTTCATATGCTGCTACCCAGGATGTTCCCAAGCTGGAAGGTGTATGGAACATCCACAAGCTGAGAGCAGTGCAGGAGGCAGGTGAGCCTGGGGAAAGTTCTGTGCTGGCCAGGGAGCCAGGAGGGAGCTGGGCTCCCCCAAAAGAATTGGGGTGACTCCACCCAAAAAGAGCGATGTTTTGAAAGTGCCCACATATAAATGAAAGAAGAAAAAAAGAGAAATGAAAACAAAAGAGGACAAAAAATGAAGGGGAAAAAAAAAAAGAAAGAGGGCAGAAGGGCTTTATTCAACACTAAAAACTCCCACATTCGCTCCTCAGCACACAAACCTCCCCTTTTAGGAAAAAAAAGAAAACAAAAATAAACAATCCTTCTTCCCTCCACCCCCCCCATTTGCATACATTTCTTCACATCATCTCCGTGTATGAGCAGGACACAGGAGAGCATCTCAAAAACACAGTCCTGTGAGATCTTTGGCAGGTGGGAAGGACAGGGAGATTCAGGAAAAGCCTTTGTGTGCAACATCCACTTTTTCTGCAGTGTTGTACAATAGTCCTTCAACATTGAAATACCAATGTGTAGAACAGAACTGCTTGGTGAGTACAGCCTATCCGCATGTTTCAAATTTCCATCCAGTGCATACAAAGCCATAAATGACAAGTTTTTGTTTGGAAGCAAAAACAAGTGTTCTTTTGTGGCCAAAGACCATTGCTTATTTGCATAGATTTGAGTGTCAGTGTTTCCCCAAACAAGCGAAGACTACACCTCCCACTGAACCACAGAAATATTTACTAGCTTTCTAGAGTGTCTAATTTACATGTCAAAGGGCATTTTTGCATGCCATTTACCTAACTGCTGTAACTGGACTTGTAGAGAAATGAGCAGCACATGCTTTTTATTCTTTAACTACATTGCATCTTCAGAATGAACAAAATGTTTTCTTCATCAAGAAAGCAGAGAAACTCAACAATTTTGTTATCCAAAACAGTATGAGATGGAAATTACTTAAATTTAACTGGAAAAATTATGAGTAATGTCCTGACTGCAGACTGATATCAGTACTTAGAGACACTCCTATATGGCAGGATTGAATGAAGAAGCCACCTGGTAACTGGCCTGTGAAGGCTTGTAGATCTATAAAAGAAATAATAATAAGAAAAACAAAGAAAGAAACAAAAGCTCTGTTGGGAATAACACTGAATCTTGAAACAAACTAATGTTACTGATAGCACTTCAATTACTGAAGTGTAGATCCTAGTGACTAAGTGTCTTTGCTTCACCGGGTAAAGCAAATGGCTCAACAGATCCATCCACTGCTTCACTCTAACACATCTCGGTGTCTTTAAGTACCTGAATTAATGCTATGCAGTGTTATTTTGGAGTGTCTGTGCATCTCTGGAGTTTTTCTGTTGGCACTGGACTGGTGAGGGTACCCAAATGATCTTAAAAAGAGGGAAGGATCCACTGTATGAGCTGATGCAGTCCTTTGTCTGTATCATTGCTTGCTGCACTTCGGTGAATGGCATTCAGCATTCCTGCCTATCTGCAGCATAAACTGAAAACGAAGATCATCTTCCAACCTGCAGCCTCTGTTGTTGTCCCTGCCAGTACTCTGTGAGCCCATGTTTGGTTTTGAGTGTTGGTTTAGTGTGATTTGAAAACTATGTACGAGTAGTCAGTACTGAAAACCTTGTGTAGGATGAAAACTTGGCCTGCATGAGCTCTGAGGGAGTGTAATGTAAGTGAAGGCTAAAGTGAGGTCTATAGACTACTAGCATGCTTAGAGCAGAGAATGCAAGCTTGATGAATCCAAAAAAACAACCCTAATGCTAGAAGATACCTCTGGCGTCACTAGTAATGCTAGTCAAATGATACTCAATGGAGACCTCGTAGGATAACTGAACACTGTACTAAGACATGTCAGTGTTCTACTCAAGAAATAAGTACGTGACATTACAGGTGTTACCATTCAGAGTACCTATATCCTTACAATCAGACAAACAGGAGGTTCAGTCCTACAGTGTTGGCATTTATACAGCATTAGAAAGATATTAGCTCAACAATTTCTATATGGCATGGGACTATAAAATTGTATTGCTTCAAATACTTACTAACCTCTGAATTCAGATTAAAGCTGTATTTGGTGATATACAGTAAAGGGTTGTGCCTGCATGGTTGTACAAACGTGACTTCTGTTATGTGCCAAGGATCTGCAGAGTTCTGTTCTGTTCTGCTCCCGTTGGTAGTAATGAGCTAGCAGAAAGCTGTTTACTGCCAAAACATTTAAATATTGGGTAGATTGTTTCATACCAAACACTATAGCAACACAGACTCTAGCATAGCTATTTACAAGCAGCATTAAGAAAATAGCTGGCTATAAAAAACAAACAAAAAAAACACAACACAAACTTTTGTTCTCAGAATTAAAATGTGATGCAGACAGAACAGAAACAACCACTTCGGGTAAGCCATTGCAGTCATTACAATTTAAATCAGCTGCTAAAGACACACAAGAGAGTGAACATCTCTACTGGTGCCAAGACCAGTGCAGAAAATGTTGTTCTCAGTAATTTTTGTTGACAGGTGCACTTTTTGCTGGGATAAAAACTAGCTGCATGGCTGGGCCCAGAGTGGTGGTGAATGGAGTGAAATCCAGCTGGCAATTGGTCATGAGCGGTGTTCCCTAGGGGTTGGTGTTGGGGCCCATCCTCTTTAATATCTTTATTGATGATTTGGAAGAGGGAATTGAGTGCGCCCTCAGTAAGTTTACACCAAGTTAGAGGGAAGTGTTGATCTGCTGGAGTGTGGGAAGGCCCTGCAGAAGGACCTGGACAGGTTAGGTCAATGGGATGAGTTTCAGACCCAGGCCATGTTTCAACTGCAAATGGCCCAGCTGAAAGATTAGCATGAGTTGCTTTCCTTTGGGGTGTCAGAGTCATTACTTTAGAGAACTTTAGCTTGCCACAGGAAAAGTGCTATACATCCAGGCCTCTAAATAAAAGAATATCAATTAAAAATATCCCATCTTTTGCACTATTTTATCTTACATTGCCTACAGCAATATATGCCAATGGTCACGAGATATTAGTATGCTTACCCAAAAGACAACACCGAGAAGAATACAGCATTGCATCAAAAACCCTTATGGAGGAGGGAATAAAGTGCTGAGATAAATTGTGTTGGGTCTACAGAAAAGTGAGGAAGTGACGCCTGAAACCTCAGAGTTAGCAGGGTATCACTGGAATCAAAGCGGCTCTGACTGCCAAGGATGTCATCTGCCCAGTAATGAATGGGAATGGTCAGTTTGAAATGGCATGAAGCACAGACTAAGAGCTGAAATGTCACAACTGACAACTGCTCCTGCTTGGTGCTTTTTCCACTGGGCACGCCAGAAGGTGAGAGCACAATTGCTTGTGCATTTCTATAACTGCAGCTAATGCGAATGATTTTCAGAAGTTCTGCTTTTGTGTAGTGATTCAGACTTTAATGTTCATTTGTTCTACATACCTAATATTTCTTTTCAAAAAATGTAAGAATTCAATGCCCCATCAGCATGGCACAGCTTGGGCTGTCTGGGTAAAACAAGCACTTGTATGGGGAAGTGTAATAATGTTTTTATCACAAATGTTCTGCTGCCAGAGTAGAAGGAAACTATTTCTTTAAACACTGTTCTGGATCTGAGAAAATTAGATGATACCCCTTTCTGAAGAACTGCCATAATAGGTCAAAAGTGCATTAAGTACATTATTTTTTTACTTCTTCAATAGTGTCCCGTGTAAAGGAGATTGACAACTTGCTTACTTATTTTATGTATCTTTTACTAAAGCAGTTGTCTGATTATGTAGTTGAATTCCTGAATTAAATAAATATTGTTGACTGTGTTTTAGGCCTTTCACTTACATGTTCCTCCGTCATCTCTTCTGAGAACCTGTGTTACAGTTTTATTTGGATAGGAAGTGGTTCCCCAGCTCTAGTAATGTTTTTTGCCTCTTTGTGGACTTTTTTGATGTTTATGACTGTATGTAGAGATCCAAACATGGGTACTTCATTGGTTTATGCAGCCAGATCTTCTTTTCCTGTTTAATTTTCCTTTCTAATGTGCTATCTTTATTATTTCGGTTCTAAGAATTGATTTAGAAAGTCACTCTGATGACTCCATAAACTCTTTCCAGACTCAGACTTCACTTTCCATATCTGTTTCTTCTCACTGATGATTTATTTTTTTTTTTACCTTTGTTGCAAAACCTCTGCTCTGTGCATGGTTATTCTGAATAACTGTACTTAAAAACACACTTTGTATTAAGTAACCTGGAAAAGGGAATGATATCATGTGGCAGCTATGAGCATCCCATAAATCCCTTTGGACTTCTTTCTGAAAAAGTAACCATCCTTTCCTGCCTTTTAAACTGGTGATACAAAGCTAGCATAAAGTCTTGCAGTTAATTCTTTTTCCATGACAGCATGGTTTCTTTAAACATCTTCATAAAGGCACTGTTGAAAGTCACATTTAAAAAATAAAAATATGTGGTATATCAGCAGCTGATATTTATCTCTGCCTCTTTACGCCTTAACATTTTTGTATTTCTGGGAAAGATTTTGCTCTGCAAAAACTATGTTGGCTCTTATCTAAATTCTTGGGTCTATCTTAACTCCATATTCTATTAGCTCACTGCTTGTTTTTATTAGTGTATATTCATTGTTTTCTGCTCCATAATCACACCAGCCTCCCCTTCATTTCGCTCTGCAGGAGTCCTCACTCCTGCATACAGCTTGTAGCAATACACTGGCTCTTCAGAACTGATGGTTTGAGCTGCTGCTACACACAGCTCAGGGCAAAATCCAGAGCAGCATCTTTGCTAGCCTGCTGCTGCCTGTTCAAGCTGACAAGGAGCTGCTTATGAGTGGTGCCTCTGCATCAGGTACTTGCCTGACTCCCACCGCACATGAGAGATAAATGACATTTGTTCTTATGATAAGTGGCAAGACAGAAATCCAGGCTCCCATCCTTCAGGTATCAATCACTATGTTTGCTTGTTTCTTTCTTTGTTTGTTTTAATTGAAAGCTTTGTTTAAAAAAAAAAAAAAAAAAAAAAAAAAGCTCAGAAATTGTTTATTCAGCTGTGAAAGTTTGTCAACCTACAATGACTGTTGTTTTTTTTTCTTTTTATTTTTTTCCTACCAATAACAAAAAGCAAAAAAAAAAAAAAAAAAAAAAAAAAGCAAGAGTTGTGTTCTGTTGTGTTGCCTAAGGATGAATCTCATTGCATTTGTCTTAATATATAATATAGATAGATATACTGGATGTTAAGAATGTATCTATACCTGGTATGGACAGTCTTTTTCACTGCTAGAAGTGTTGCTGCCATTGTAGCCAAAGACAAACTTCTTAGTAGTTCACAACCTGTTGAGAGTGATTTATTCTTTGCATTGTCTGGCCTGCTATATAGTAGAGGCAGCATGCATCTCCAGTAAGAAAAATCAAGGTCGAAAGCATACTACCCAAACTTGGTGTGTGTTGAGATTGTGTGTTTGTATCCCCATGTCCTCTTCTACAGACACAGTTTATATCATTTCCAGGCAAAAGAAGCTCTAATGATAAATTGCAGTACTCTTATTCTATTGTTTGGCGTAGTTCTCTACCCAGGACTGTTAAATTATGAAGTAACATTAGTGCAGACCAAGATTTATATCTCAACCACTAGCTAAAATCTGTGTTTTTGATTGCATAGACCAGAGAACCTGCTTAGAACAGAAAAGAGACTCCTGAAAAGTTCTGGTTACCATAAATCAGATCATCAAACCTTTCTCCCGGCTTGGATGCAGGGTAGTACCTTTTATCTCAATTGAAATTATCATAATTTGATCCTTGGCTTAATAAAAGTGTCAGTTCGGATCAACTAAATCAAAGTACAAGATCTCAACGTGCCCCAGTGCTTAAGGACCAGTATTTTTTTATTTGACTTTGCTATTCACTGCAGATAAATTGTTGGCATTTACTCTTGGACTGAGGTTTTCTCATGGAGAATAAAAGCATTTAAGGTGCTTCAGGCATGGTTCAAACGTAACCCTTCCCCAAAAGGAGATGCAGGTTGACCTTCTAACTTCAGATACCATTGGGAGCAATGCTTTCTAACCAGAAGTTCTGCAACAAATCCTTATTCCAAGAATATTTAAAATGATGAGAAAATTATATCAAAGTAGACATCCAGGACAAATCCATAAATCCTATTTAATGTCAAAATAGAAAATAAAATTAAAGTTTCTCAAAGTGTTTGCACCACAGACTCTTTCCTTGAAAATGAAATATGTTAAATGCTGGTTTTGTATTTTATATATTTTTAAAAATTGAATATAATAGGGAAAATTGCAAAATAAATTTTAGTTAAATGAACACATCTTGACATTCCTTTCTATTGCCTAGATTCTTTAGCACTTTTGTTTAAGGTACACACAGAATGAAGATGTCAATACATTTCATAAAGAAAATGTTGAAAGGCAACGTTATTCATAAGTGTTATATTTTGACATTGTCTTTTCCTTTCTTTTAGCCAAATGTGCTACTGTATTTTGTCTCCATAAAATAACATCTTCAGTGAATTTTGTATAGCTTGTAAAAAAAAAAAAAAAAAAAAAGGAAAAAGAAAAGAAAAATTTAAAAATTTTGCAGAATCTTTTTCCTTCTTTCTTTCCCCAGAAAGTTTAGACCGAAAATTTTTTATGTCATCATTAAATGGAAGTTCAGATATAGATTTTCACAGGGTGTGCACATTCTTGGATCCCACAATTACTTCCTTTAATACGTTTCTCTTGTCTTTTATTTTCATCTTGGGCATACTTTTCAAACTTATTTTGCCACTTAAAAAAATTATTGCTCCTGCTTTCAATTAATGCAGTAATGGGTTCTTGTATAAACTGCTACTATAAGATGGTGTCCAACATTGCTGTAAACAGAGTTTGCTCATTTACCTGTGCTAGGAAAATTCTAAGTTCACTTCTCAAGTACTAATCTGAAGCAACACCAAAACCCCAACCCTGAAGCTAAACATTTGCCGAAGCTGATGGGCTGGGGATGGAGACTGGGAGAGAGGGGGAACAGGGAAGAGTCAAGCTGGGCTTCTGCCTACAGAATGACTGAAAATGGGTTGATTTTGGTTTTATGGTGGACAAGCCTAGATCCTACAAAGATATTTTTACTTGTTTAAATAATTAAAATAATATATAATATACAATATAATTATCAATAATAATAAAAATCCTTGTTTAAATACTGTACAACACTTTACTGAAGCCAATTATCCCATCTGGAGTGTAAAGTTTAGCACGTAAATCAGGTTTTGCAAGACATGGACCATTTCAACATATCTTTTAACACCTGTGGTCCCACATGAAAAACTCTGTAGAAAGGTTCTTCAACCCACCAACCTAGTGGGGAGGCTTCTCCGTGTTTCAGCGAGACATTGAGTGAGTTATGGATGTTAGTTGCTTAGAAAATGAGGTTTAGAAGTTTCCAAATATGAAAACAATCTGTTATACCACATAGGAGATTGAAAGCATGACTCTAAGAAAGATGACTATGATAAACATGTAAGAATTTAATTTTCACATTATTAAAAAGCAATGGTTATTTAAGATCCTTTCTGACTTGGATATGTTAGAAGTTCATATTTCATATTCATATTTTTTGACAGGACAGTGAGAACTCCATTTCTGTCAGTACTTAACTATATATTAAGCTTTGTTTAACGTTGTTAACATTTGTTCCTGGTATGAATATGAATCTAGATTTTATTTTATTTTTTTTTTAATTTATTGTCTGTTTTTATTTCATGAGCAGAAACAGCTTTCTCTATCATTAAAGCTTTTGTTTTGTCAACTTTATGGAAAATCTGAAAAAGCAACATAGCTAATGAGGCAAGTACAATTTTACCTGCAAGGCTGCTTTTGCCTTCTAAACAGATACGTACTTTTTTCTTTCCTAAACTAAATTAAAGTTTCAGACTTTGACTACATGTTTCAAAAAGGACTCAGCCTTATCAAAAATAACAAGGTTATTTTCTACAGTTGTATAAGTCTTAGACAGACTGATTTTTAACTTTTACTTTGAGAAAAAGACGTAAACTTGTAGCTTGCATTTCTTCAACATGAAGACTTCTCTGCACAGTGTATTTCAACAAAGCTCATATACTAAAGGGGTAGAAATATGGCATTTTGAAAGACAGCGTTAAGCTAATCACGTACAACTTATATTTTGGAAAAGAAAGGAAGAACAAATAAAGAGTAAATTATGCGAGAGCCAGGAAAGCACTAACCTGTGCTTAGTTATAGACTTTAAAACATCTCAATAGATGTCAAATGAGACAGAAAAGCTGTTTAAATTGCACCTTAATTCTTGTTTCAGAACTCTCCAGCAACAATTTAAATCAGAATGTTAAAATTGTTATAGTATGTTTGAAATTAATTTTGCCATTTTAATAACTCAAAGCTATCTGTAAATGCACAGCTAGCACCTATCTGTCACATTAGTAAAATCATGAAAAGAACATTACGCATAAAGTTTGCTATAAGTATACATTTCGATTGAAACATTAATATTCAGTCTTTGAGCATTATTATACTTTTAAGAGTAAAAAACTGTAATAAGAGTTATAACAAGGTGGCGCTTCTTGGGCTTCTTTTTTTTTTTTAAATAATCTTCTGGAACTGGGTACTTAGTTCACAATCTACTGTCAATCAAGGAACTCCATGACATTGGAATGCAATAAATTGAATCAGAATAGGCAGGATCTACATCAGACATTCTAGGTACGTATAGAGAAAAACAGTTACTGAAATACTCTTAAATGACAGTCATTGAATTTTCCCCGAAATATAAAAAAAAAAAAAAAAAAAAAACTATGGATATGTACTTTCATCTCCTTGTTGATACCTGCAATATACTGAGAATGTGAAGTCACTGAGCAGTTCTTAAGAAAAATATCGAAAGACCTTTGTAAATGGACATAATGTTATTGCTGCAGTTATCTTCCCAGGAAAAATGAAGCATTTCTTAGCAGAAGGCTTTAAGGAAGTTCTGTTTGTAAAATGCGGTAACTTTAAGAAATGAGCTGCATTATCCTCTCTAATCTTTTGATACATTCCAAATTAATACTAATGGAGAAAACTAAGAAAAAAGAAAGGCAAAGCAAAATACGGAAAAATCCATTCATTAGTTTTAAAGAGGTCCTTTTTGTATTTCAAAGTTTCTTTAGCACATCTAATATCAATTGTTTTTGTTTTATCTAGGTTTTATTACCATCTACTTATAACATGAAATAAATAAAACAGATGATCCCTACATACTGCATGTTGGAAACATTTAGGTTTCACTGGTAATTAAAATAACACAGTAAAAGATCATTTGGTCAAATCATTTCCCAAGTATCCTTACAAAGCTGTGAGTTAAAGAGTAAGTATAAAAATAGGAAGAAAACCACTGTACTTTATTGCTACTTCAGTAGTTAAAGAAACGCAATAAATCCAAGAGTCTCAGAAAAACAGCACGTTGTATTTTAAAGCAGTAAAACATTCTGTGCATTCTACTCAGAAATAAAAGTGGATAATAAAATCTTAATTGAGAATGATTCAGAAAGCAAAAAAGAAGAAATATATTACAAAACAGAAGCATGTATTTCAAGTTAAAAGGTATTGAGTATCAGCGCAGCATCAGTTGGAATTTTGTGTGGCTGCATATGCATATCATAGAAATTTATTTCTATAAATTTATTTCTATATTATCTTCTGTTTTATGTTACCAATAATAATCAGATTCAAATTTGATTCATTAATAATCTAAGATAATTTAGATTGTACTTGTTGGAAAAGAATTCCAGAAAAAATAAATTCCTTGTAAACAGAAACTGTCATATTGAACTCTGTAGGTACCCAAAGATCAGTACATTTAAATACTTTCTGAATGTTTTCTGAGGTTCTTTATGTACAAGTAGATTCACGGGTATTGAAAGGAAAAAAACCTTAGTGTTATCATCACCAGCTCAAAATATAAGGTGATTTCTGGCACCTCTGTTTATAGGCTTAGCTAAATAGCAAAGCTAATGGATTTCTATCTGCAAAACAAGTTATTGTCTCCGTAAATGATAGATGCTATCAGCAACTCATTCAAAAGATCAATTAGCCATTAAAATAGTCTGTTTTAACTCAAAATGTTGCCTTCACAAATGATACGCATGAATTGGGTATCTTCTAATCACACAATAGCCATTAGCCTCTCCCAAAAGTCTTCATACATTTGTGGCTGAAAAAGAAAACATACAGAACAGCACAAAACAATTTCCTGAACAAACAAGAGCTTCTGTCTTCCACTAAAATTTGTAATATCTCTAAAAGGTTTTGAGATAAATGGACTCTTAGGAACAGGAAAGAATAGGAATAAGATTTGTTACACACTTGAGAAATACAGTCAACAGGCTCTGTTCCTACCTGAGAAGAGAGCAGATCCAATCATTCAACTCAAAGACTCTGGATTCTCTCTAGTGTAACTGGAACAGCCTTCACTTTTAAGAAGCTATAGCCTCTCAGCCAGGAGGAAATCTGGCACCATCTTCCATACAAAAGCACACACATACGAACATAATAAAGAAAAAAAGAGTCAACCCCAAAACAGTCAACAAAGGACAAAAATACTGCCTCCACAACAAATCCATCAGTTTTCTGATCCCCTGTCTGAGAAGCTTTTATTGCTATCTCCAAAATGTAACTCATCTGAGAAGGAAACACACCAGTGTATAGTCATCTTAATTTTTTTTTTTTTCTTTTCTTTTCCAGATGTAGTCACTGATTGCAGTGTAGTTTAGGATCTCTTTCCTGGTTCTAATTTTCAGTGAAATTCATAGGTCAATTTGATTCATATCCCATCCCTTGAAAATCGAGATACAGATTTACTCTACAAAATAAGTCCATTTTTGTTTGTTTGTTTGGAGTAGAAAGACAGCATTATTTATGATACCTGATAATAACTTGGCTGGCATGATATTTCAGAGCTTTATGTCTGTTTGTATTTTTATTTTTTGTTTTTTAATTTTTTATTTTTTTGTTTGTGTGTGTGTATTTTTTCCTTTTCTCACCTGCTTCAGGGTCTAGTCCTGCCATTATCAGACAGTAAACTGATGTCTTTTTTACGGGTTCAGTTGTTCAGTCTGTGTCAGTCTCCTTCAAACTGAATCTGGTTTTGTAAAAATATAGGAAAGAAGTCTAGCATTCATGTCAAAGGGGCATAACTAATTTCTGCAGGCCTTTTCTTTCAGCTCTTTGACCTGAGCTCAAGGACTAGCTTTTTTTTGCCATTTTCAAGTAAAAACTTGCACTAATATAGACTTGAACAGAGAATCACGGGGA